TCTGCAACAAAGTCCCCCCGCTCCGGGGGGGGGGGGGGGGGGGGGCGACTCTCCGAAACCGGAGTCCCGCAAGCTTGCGGCGAAAACGTGGGGCGGAGGCATTTGGCGTCATGGAGACCGGCCTCCATATGTTTGGGCGGCGACACGATGGACGCATTTCCGCCGGGAAGAGAAAAACGCCAGCGCCTGCCCCTCCGACATTCAAGACGGTTGACCGACGACACGGGACCAAGTTGACGGCCGTCTAGTTTTCCGCGCTTCTCCCCTCAAGTCGAAAGAACGAGACGATCGGCGAGCTCACCTTCGACAATGAGTTTTGCGGTGCAGGTGATCTCTTTGCCGGCGTTCCTGGCGACGCAGGTGTACTCGCCGGTGTCTGACAACTGCACGTCTTTGACCACCATCTTGCGGTCCTTGCCGTCCGAGGTGAACTTGTACTTGGGGCCCTCGCGCAGGTTCCCGCCGTCCTTCATCCAGGACGTGACGGCGGTGGACGGCGACACCTGGCACTCGAAGACGGCCGAGGAACCGATGGACTCGGCCTCCTGCAGCACGATGTCCTCCAGCTTCTTGATGAACTTGAGCGGGACGGCTTTGAGTTTGAATCCTCCGAAAGGCTCCTCCGGAGGCGAGGGGCCTTTTCCGCCGGGCCTCAGGCCACGCCCGCGACCGCCGTCGCCGGGAGAGGGCGTTAGCCTCACTGCAAGAGCAGAATTCAAAAGGCCTCGGCTTAGGTTCTGGTCGCACGGCAGAAAGCGAGATGGGAAAATAGATCAAAAAGGCACTATCGATTCAACCAAATCCCCAAAAGTCAAGAGTTTAAGAGTCTCGTGACAGAAGCGAAAGAAGCGATCACAAGGCGACACGTGGATAGAGCGCTATCAAAGACTACGAGCAAACGCCAATCGGTTCTCACCACCGAATCCGCGTCCTCGTCCTTTGGGAAGTTCCTCCGCAGGTTTGCCATCTGGATTAGTCATGAAAAAAAGTTGCTGTCACAATATCATCTTTTGCTTTTGCAACAGTCAAATTCTACTGCTCAACAACAACAGCGAGAAGGAGAAGAAGGAGAATGTTAAGGACGACGACAATTCTTTCAGAGAGGTTGGGCGGGTTACGACAATGAAATGGTCTTTGTTTGCTTTGAGGAAGTCTGGACTAGGAAAAGGAGGAGGCAAAAGAGACCGACGACCACCTTTAGGAGTCACGTGCCTTCATGTTAACTGATGGATGGGTCGGGTGACCGGAGAGTGCGCGATGAGGATTAGACGAGTCATCTGGGAAGATGCGAGAGTGCCGGCAAGGTCGGTGGTCGGGGAGGTGCTGTTAAGACGTGCCGACGGGGGGGTGCCGCTAAGAGGGGCGGCGGTCGCGGGGCGCCGACGGCATCCGCGCTTTTCCGGATGTCACCTCACCTTGTTGGCCGTCAGGAGGGCCCGGCGTTTCCCGCGCCCCGTCCATCCCTTCGCCTCGCCAATCTTCCTCATCGGCCAAGTCCCGAAAGGCCTCCTCCTCTCGCAGGGTGGGAACTTTCGTCACCTGCGCAGGGCTCGGCCAGACCCCCTTCACCAGGGGAAGCCTCAGCTTGTCGGCTTCGTCCTCTTGAGGGCGAGGTTCCTTCAGAATTTCTGGAACATGCGGCGAAGCGTGTCTTGCAATGCTTGGAACTTTCTCGGCGGCGGTGTTTGTTTCAATGGCGATGGGTTCCGCTGGTTTTGGCTCATCAGCCCGGGGTGACACGTTCTCTTGCAGTTGGGCTTTTTTCACCCGCTGCTCGGGCTCCGAGCCCGCTTCAACCTCTTCCGTCTTCCGTCCGGGTGATGGCGCGCTCTTGACTTTGCCACCAATCTCGATGGCATCCGTTCGTCCGGGTGAAATTTCCTCCTCCAGTTTGATATTTTGCCCTTCTTCTTTGGGATGTTTTGTAGCTTCCTCGTGCACTCGAGTTCCTTTTTTGGTCTCCCCGCTCGGAGCTGTTGTCTCCTCGCGTTGCTCTTCCTCCGTTTCACGGGCAACCGCGACCTCGTCATGTTCTTGGCAAAGCTCAAGTTGACTCGTTTCTTCTCCGGACGCGAAGACGCCTTCGCGATCCTCTCTGTCATGAAGGCCGCGGACAAAACGCCTGCCAACTTGTGCCCGATGAGTTTCGACTTCATTCTCAGCCGCCGCAGTTTTCAGCGGAACTTTCCTCAAGCCGATGACCTCGGCCTCCGTTTCCTTGTCCGCGGTTGTCGAGGTAACGTTCCGCCTCGCCTTTGGCGTCGCTGCCGCTTTCGTCTCTCGCGATGGACTCGGCACAGCCGGTGCTGTGTTTTTGGCAGCGGATAGTTTGACGTGTCACAAAGCGATACGCGCTCGAGGCCAAGTAGCAAACGGCAGGCCATTCATACAGTAAATACTCAATCGGATTGCTCATTCAAACCAAGAAAAGATGAGCATACCTTTGGTTGGTCCGGGAGCCTTAACGGGTTCCTTGTCTGCAAGAGTCATGAGTCGAAATAGTCGATTCAGAGAAGTTGTGACGGGAATTGTCGCTGTCGGCTCAGCGGTCGGGCGACAAACATTACCTTCCGGGGGAGAGGCTCGCGTCAAGACGGCAGATGCTGCGGCCGTCGGTGCGGCTGGCGGAGAAGGTCGGTCCTCTGCCGCGGCAAAACGAGCGGCGACAAGAATGGCGATACGGGGAATCGCACGTCAAGATGAAGACCAAACGCAGGTGACCTTTTAATGCAAGTCAACAAATACGGCCGGAAGAGACTCGGCGACGCTACCTGGGGGAGGAACGACCTCAGCTGGTGGCGTCGGTGCAGAAAGTGTGCGCTCTTTCTTCTCCTCTGGACAAGATGCTTCAGGGTAGAACACAACAAAAGGTCAAACTCAAAAAAAAAAAAAAAAACCCTCAAAAACCAGGAGGAGGAAAATGAAAATGCAGATAGAAAGAAGATGAGTGAGCATCTATTTGATCTGAACAAGGGGGGAGCTATGGAAGCGGGCAGCATTTTAAGAAGGGAGTACCTGCAGGAGGAGTCACTTTGTCCTCTCGAGCGGAGTGAGGGGAGGCTTTCCACGTTTTATTGTCTGGAGGAGATACCGAAGAGGATAATAAGGAGATGAAGAATACCGCCGAGACAAGACGCCAGCAAGTCAGCCGGAACAAAACACTCGCAAGTGCGGGAAAAGACAAACGCGGACAAGCCGGAAGAGCCTTGAACGGACCGGAAGACGCTACCTGGAGGCGCCGGGACCGTCTCTGCCGGAGCGGGAGGGGACGATGCGGCCACAGATGGCTTCTCCGGAGAAGATGCTTGAGGACCAAAAAAAAAAAAAAACAAACCAAAAGCCGCCATGAAACAACAAGGTCAGTCCAGACCTGAGCCACATCCACGTGACTGGCAAGGAGCACAACAACGACAAAGTCTCTTGCCAAAGCGTCGGATTCAGCAAGACAAAACGGAACATTTGAGGCCACGACGCCGTTTCGTTTCCGCTCGTGACGGAAGAAGAAGGAGACGCGCGTGAGCCGTGACCTTTTACAAGTCTTTGAGGAGATTGGAGCTTCACCAATGAAACGCTCGCACAGCACCTTTGCTTCCTTGACTTATGAAGAATTTCTGCTGAAATCCTTTGGACGTAGCGTCTCGTCAAAGGGGCGGTGCGTTCCTTGCCGACGAAGCTTTGTCGCTCAGCGCTTCGGGAACCGGAGGGCGTTTTCTGTCCGAGACTGGAGCGTTCCTCTGCCAAGGAGCTCTCCGCCCGTCGGAGGGCTCCATTGCTCAAGATGGGCAAAGTCTTTGCGAGGGATGCCGGTCGCATATTGACTGGACCGTCACGCAATTGACTTTGGAGTCGGCCGATCCTCCGCCAGGCGTCCCCGGTGGGTCCGAAACGCCGCCGCTCGCCTCTTGACTGCTACTCGTAAGAGGGAGCGCGTAATTCCTACGATGGCCTCGCCCCACCTCACCTCTCTGAGCTCCCCGCCCGGCTCTTCAGCTTCAAGTCTTTGCTTTGGTCTCTTTGCTTGCCGATGAGTGAGATAAGTCAGGTCCTGCTCCTCAAACTGCTGACTTTGGTCTGCCTTAGTTGGCGCTTTGGGTCATTGTTTCTGGAATCTTTCCTCATTTCCAGCACCATTCCGGAGCGGTCCGCAATCTTTTTGGTTCTGCGTGAATTATTTTTGTTTTGTCTGGCAGATACTGATCGTGGCCTTGCTGGAAAGTCGATGGGGTTTTTTTTTGGGGGGGGGGGGTGTGGCGGGACGGTGGCCTCCCATTGTTGGCATTAAATGGTTTTGTTTCTGGAACTACGTCATCAAAAAGATTTTAGAGCCAATTCATTTGGGAAAGAGCCAAGTAAGTCCCTGACGAGGCTTTTGCACACGAGCAGCTCGGGCTTTTGAGCTTCTTCGCTTTTGACACGCGTTTCTGCCTTTTGGGAGAACGGAAGCCCGAGCTTCAGGTGCAGCGGGGGTGTCTTCCGCTGTCCTGCAAACTTTGGGAACTTGAAAGATGTTATCAAGGCTACCAAGGCCACATGCCGCGTTATGTTTAGGATGAGGTGTGTGGCTTTTTGTTTTGTTTCTTTTTTTGTAGACCGTGTTCTTAGCTACTGGCTGCCGCCTTGAAAATTTAGCTTTGAGCTCGTGACTTTCATCTTTAGCAGCTGGCTCAACTCAGCGAGTCAAAGTTGGCGCAAGCAAGAGAGGTCGACCGAAGATCATTTTGAAGATATACGCACGCATTCAGAACAGGCTTCATTTACGGTTCGGAGACAACCTCCGTTGAAGACCAGGACCAAAGACCAAGGACTGAAGCGGCGGGTCAAAGGCTCTCAGGAAAGAGGTCGACGCGCTTCAGGTCAACGGGGCGTTCCCGCTCTTACCGGAGACGGCGAGCTTGGCGTTGGAGACGTGAGGACCGCAGACCAGCCGGTAGTCGCCCCGGTCTCCGGCCCGGCAGTGGTGGATCTTCAGGCTGTGGCGTTCGCCGTCGCTGCTGATGCTGTATTTCTCGCCATCCTCCAATTTCTGGTTTCCTTTGTACCAGGTCAAGGTGATCTCCGGGTAGTTGATCCTGATCTGGCAGTGAAACGTGGCGCTTTCGTTTTCACATGTGCTCTGGTCACTGATGTCCTCCGTGACGGTGACGGGCTGTGGGTGGAGAACCGCAAGCAAACATGTTATCGGCGGAAGATCACTCAAAGGCCGTTTTGTCTCATGTGATTCGGTGTCGTGTCGCTTCATTTAACAGCGCGTAAAGTGCACTTTGCAAATGTGCCCAAGTTACCGTGACGCCTACGTCGTACGCGAGGCCACAAGAACTCGCCATCCCGAGATCAGCAGCTCCACAATAAAAGATCGCAGGTCCGTCTATAAAGCGCTACGACAACACACTCGAGGGAGTGTGTGGTTTCTTGGCTGAAGGGTGTTGTTTCAGGAGGTCTCCTAGCGAGTCTCTCAGCCTCGTCGGGTTGGTCTGGTAAGGACTGAGCCGCGGGACTTTGAAAAAGTTAGCGGCGTGTAAGAAAACCAAAGAAACGAACGTGGCGGAGGCTGATGAATTCGCGTGTGCGCACGGAGGTTTCGTGAACGACAAGCACGACGATCCCTTCAAAAGGTGTGCCGCACCCGTACCTCCGTGTCCAGGCGTCCCTCCAGCTGCCGGATGAGGCGCATCACGTCTTCTTCTTCGTCTACCCGCTCGTCACGTCGCGCCTCCTGTGGGAAAACACGACAATCGCATGACATCAACGCCCGCATTCGGTTGACAAGACGTCGGGCCGCACGCACGCGCGACCAAGAGAATTCATCCATCCATCGCCAGAGACGAGGTCGGCACCCGCTCCGGGGACGAACCGGGCCCAAGACAGCCGAGCTCCCAAGATGGCAACCAAACCCTCCCAGTTGTCGCCAAAAGAAATACGAAATGAATAAGCCACCTTGAATTTGACCATCTTCACTGGCTCGTCCGGACCGCGACATCCCTTCTAACCTGCACTACCAGGGACAAATTCCTGGTGTGTTCTACATACTCGGCCAGTAAAGAGGATTCCGATTCTGATTGTGATCCCTGCGTAACAGGGAGACTCAACACGCCGGTCGACACCGCAAGCTCCAACGACAGGAATTTCCTCACCGCATGTTGAGCTTCCGTCTGCTTCTCCTGCTTTAGGAGCTCCACCGCTTGAAGGATGGCCCGGTAGTCGTGAACGTGGTGCTCCCTCAGAATCTTCTCGTAGTTTTTGGGCTCTTGACCTCGCAGCAACTCCACCAAGTTGATCTGTTCTTCTTTTTTGGGGCTCTTCTGCTTCGAGGGGGTCCTAGCACACACGAGAGGAAACATCAACGCGACGTCCCCCGTTGCCGCGTCCGACGGTCCCCGCGGAATCGTCCGAAGGCTTATCGGAAGAAGCGGTGACAAAAAAACCCGCCGCGCAAGAAAGGCCGACGCGGGCGCATCGGACGACTCACTTCTTCAAATGTATTCTGATGTCTTCCGGCGCTCGCTCTTTTTTGGTCACGGCCATCTCGGCGCAGCACTGGATCTCGCCGTGCTTGTTTGAGGCCACGCAGCGGTACTGGCCCGAGTCCGACGCGGTCGCCTCGCGGATCTCCAGTTTGGCCTCGCGGCCCTTGTGCTGCAGGGAGATGCGCCCGCCGGGGGTGACTTCCCTCCACTTGCCCTTCATCCACTTCACGCTGGGGATGGGCTCGCCTCCGATCTTGGCGATAAAAGTGGCCGAGCTCACTGCGGGGAAAAGACGGCGCGTCAGATGTTCGAAAGCGCCGTTCTGCCAGGCAAGCGGCGAAGCGTCGCGCGCCGAGGGGCGGGAGGCGCGAAAGCGCTTCCAAACCTCGCCTGGCCTGCTGCGATGACGCCCTTTTGGAGCGACTTACTCTCTGCGACAGAAACATTCTTTGGCTCTTCGATGAAGAAAGGGCTGTCTGGATGTTTCGTGGGGGCGGGCGCGGCGGCGGCGGCGGCGGGAGCGGAGACGGCAAGGGCGGCCTTGGATTCTTTGTCCAGAGAAAGTAAGCGACGTCAGTAGCAAAAGGTACTCGGCGTGCTTCGGAAGCGGCCACTAAACGTGAGCTCCACCTTTCCATCCATCCATCCAAATACCTTTGATGGTGACTTTCGCCTTGCAGAAGTCCGTCCCGGCGGAGTTGCTGGCCTTGCACAGATAATCTCCCGCGGCGCTTTTGCTGACTTGGCTGATTCGCAGCCAAGGAGTTCCGCTCACAAAGGTGATCTCGGTGCCGGGGTCGGGCCTCAGCTCCCGCCTGTCCTTCATCCAGTTGACGGTGAGTGGGGGAGTGCCGCCGACGTGACATTTCAGGCTCAAATCATCGCCCTCGGTCAGCGTCGCCGGCTGCAGCGGCACGTCAAATTTGGGAGGCTTTGCGCTTTCTGAAAGAGCACGTGGACGACAACGGCCGCGCATCAGCACAAGCAAACATCAAGCGGACCGCCTTCGAGGAGAAGGACCTCTGCCAGAAGCCCAGAGGACGTCTGAGTTCGCATTTGCTAGCTCAGCTTGATCTTCTATTGTTTGGAATTTTCACTCTGTGCTGAAGATCAGCACCTGCATTTACGGAGCCGAAAAAAAACAATTTCCCGTCCTTCTGCATTTTCTTTCATTTTGTCCACGGTAGCCCGAAGCGGGCGGCCAGAGGAGACGCGGCCTAACTGAAACGCTTCTGCCCTGAAGCCTCAAAATAACCTCGAGACAAATCGACATGATCATCATGAGCGAGAATAGAAAGACCTCCCGTACCTGAGATGGTGAGAGCGACCCGACAGGAAGCTTTCCCTTCCTCGTTGGAGGCCTCGCAAGTGTACACGCCGCAGTCCGACACGTCGGCGTCTCGCACGAACAGCGCGGCCGCGTTGTTCTCGAAGATGACGTCGTATTTGGCCGAAGGGCGGATTTCTTCGTTGTCCTTGACCCAGCTGACTTTCAGTGGCTGGGAGCCGGAAACCCGAGACTCCATGGCGACCGTCTTGCCCGCCCAATCCGTCATGGACTCTGGCGGGCGCTTGATGAAGGCCGGAGGAAGCGCCCGCTCTGTCAGGGGGGGAGACAGAAGAGGCGCGGTCATTACGTGACGCTTTTATGCTGCCCCTCCTTCCAAACTCAATGCCCCCAACCTGAAAACGCAAGCCAGAGAAGATCCTATCGATTGCCACTGAGTAATACGAGCTTACCGTTCGTGGCGACGGGCTAAAGAGAGGATGCGACAATTCGAAAACTAAGAGTGTTACTGCGTCACCTAAGTTATCAAAAGCACGACAGCAGTCAGCGTCGCTGGCCATATTTTGCCGCTGACGCCGCGCTCGCGCTGTTGAGGACCTCAAAAAGGCAGGAAGAGTTGCACGCCGGTTTTCAAAGCGCGTCCGCTTGCAGCCTCCTTGCAAAGACCGGAGGCTCGGAAGACGAGCCCGGGAGACGTCAACGACGTCGTTCGGATGAGCAAACCGGCGACGGCGAAATGCTTTCAGTCGGCTGCTTCAGAAGGTCTGACCTTGAACCTTAACGGCGCCGCCGGCTTCGTTTGCCACCGTGCACACGCGAGAGCCGCCATCTTCCAGCGTCGTCTTGAGGACGTCAAGCGCAACGGTCTCATCCTCAAAGGACGGTTTGCGGTCGGGGCGCCGGCGGACCCCTCCGCCGTCTCTGGTCCGACTCACGCCGACTCCCGGAGCGTCGTCCAGCTGACACTCCAGGCGCGGCGGGGCGCCGACC